TTTGGTTTTCGGCCTTTTTGCCTCAAAATTTTTTTTTCCGCCTTTGGTCCGCGCCGGGCCCTTTTGTTTTCCCCCCCCCCCCGCCCCCCCCCCCCTCCCCGCTGTCTCTCTGTCTCTGTCTCTCTGTTTCTTCTCTCTAACCTCTTCAGGGCTGCCTGTGCGTGAATCCGGGTCAGCTGTCCAAGGGCACGGGCGGAGGGACCTACGCCGAGTTAGCCGTGCACCCCATGCCGCAGGAGACGTTAGCAAAGAAGCAGGAGGGTGAGCAATTCTGTAGCATCTCACACCTGAAGATGGAGGGGGTTGTGTAGTAGCGCGTGCACGTGCCTCAGTTTCGCCTCTTTGGTTCTTTACGACCGTCCTGCGTGTCAATGCACGCGAATGTAGAAAACATACAGCACCCCCCGCCATCATGTTTTTCTCACCTTTGTGGCCATTCTGCCTGTAGTGTAGGAGCCCGCCTGTGTGTGTATGATGCGCTTTCCAGTCTGTTGGTCCTTCTGTCCCTCACAAACCCAGACCGTTCACCTGGTGACCTCGCTTTTGCTTTTCCATGATTTTGGTGCAAAAAAATCGTCCTTTCCCCTCGCCCTCGCCACGCCATACTCTGTCGTATTCCGCGATCGGCCCGACGTCTTTGTGCATCTTGTACGCATCACACGCCCCCGGCGGCAGCAGAGAACGTAGTTGCAGTTAATCAAGTGTTGTTTCGGCACCCGCGGTCGTCGTCTTATTTGTGTCGTTTTGCGAGAAACATTTGCGCCCCCCCCCCCACGCCTCCCTCCGTCGCGCCGCAACCACCCCGCGCGTCACGCACACCCGACTCACGGGGTCCCAGATCACGAACCGTAGAAGAGGGCGTTTTCTGTTTTCAAAACCGCGCTGGAAAGGACGTCTTTTCATTGGTCAGCCGGTTAGCGGGGTCGACGACAATAATAATATGAGACACAGACAGACACACACCTGACACGCGAATGATGCCGCTCACGTGACTCTGTGCAGAGCTGGCGGACAAGCCCGACGCTACGGTCGAGCACGACGTGGCTAAGCGCACGTGCGTGGAGATCAGGAGAATCTAGTCGGCGAACGCCACGCGCGCGGCAGAGGACGACGGTTTAGAAGACGAAGAGATAAAGTGTTAATAGGACTATTTACTATTTACAACCTAAAACACTTGGGCACGAGGTGCACGGCAGGATTATTATAGGTGCCGAGAGGGGGAGATTGACTGCTTCAGGAGATCACGGGGAACGTTTTTTCGTGGAAATATTTAAAATTGTACCGTAGAGTGATTCGTGATCAGGGAGCGCGCAGCAGGCGGGGGAGCAGAGAGAGGGTAAAGGGGGGGAGGGAGGGAGGGAGAGAGTAAGAGAGTGAGAGAGAGGGAAAGAGGTCATGCTTCGCGACAACGCATCCACCAAAAAGCTAGGGAGGCGCCTTGTATGTTGCAACAGGAGAAAACAAGCAGCTCTTTCGTCATCCTAATGAATCGAGGTCTCCCAAGGGGAGCTCTTCCTTCATCTGGGAGACTCTGTAATTTCTTTGGACGATGTGGCGGAGGGGATGGGTTGATCCTTTGCGCCCTGTTTCCTCTTGGAATCGTAGCTGCTCTCGCTTGTGGTTGGTGTTCGCTCCCGTTGTGTGTGTCTCTCAGCGTGAGCTACTCGATGGCAGCCTTGTACGCGAGTCGAGGCAGGGCATGTACTGCTATCGCTGTAGTGATGCTATCCGTTCGGATACCGTATTCCGCTTGACGACATCAGCGTGTCGCGTTTCATGCTTACGCGTGGCTAACACCCCCCCGGCAATCAAGTCGACCGTGAAAGGGTTTTTAAGTTCACGCGTTGAGCATTCAGGGCATGATGAGATGTCACGCTACTTTTGGCCCCACTTTGGGGCGTTCTTTTTACCTACGCGGTGTGTTTTCGCGCCGGTGGTGTGTAGTGTCTGATGCTCGCAGGCCCGACGATGTGGACTTGAGTGTTAGTCTGCACGTCAGTTGTACAAGTTTCGGTGCGGTTTGGACGCACCAGCCTGGGTAACCCGGGAGGAACACCACCTCGAGGGTTTTTTTCTCTCCCCATCGTCGTTCGGCGCCGCTTGCGTGTTTTTCATCGCGAGAATGACCGAACGATTCAGTTGCCCCTTTCCCTCTCGCCGAAGGCAGTGAAATCGAAACAACGTGTGGTCGTTCCCAGGAATTGATCAGTACCATTCTTTGGGCATAGTGGGAGAAATATTTTGCCGCTTCCCGGTGACTGCGCCGAAATTTCGAACTAAAATGCCAACGTCAGCAAGTTCCGGGGATATCAACTGAACCACGAGGGGGAACGGTTCCACAGCAGGAGGGGTAGTCCATGCCTACAGCACACGTGTCAACAGTAAGTTGCCGAAATGTCGATTCAACGAGCCCGGCCCCGGTGTCATGCTTACGCACTTCTATTATGCAAGGGGCCTTCTCTCGTTCAACCACAGCCTCCTTCCCGGACGCTGTTTTCCCCTCTACTCCTTCACCAAAACTGTGCAACGTTTCTTCTCTTCTCTGCCTCTGTCTGTCTCTCTTTCACTCACGCACACACTCTCTCTCTCCCATGACGCTACTCTGTGATACTATTACTGTTTCACCATACTTTACACATACAAGTTCTGCTTCCTCCGTATCTATTTGCCTCCCTCACGATGTTCGTTCTCCTCTCTCCCTGTTTCTCTCTGTCTTTGTCTCTTGTTCTCCATCTACCCCTTCCCTCTCCACCCGCGTCCCGAACGCCAGTTGACGGGGTTGCTCGTCTCCTCATGCCGCTACTAAGTCCCCTTCTTGGGCAGGTCTTGCCATCGGGTTATGGTGTCAGTCCAATGCCCGTTCAGCCCGACCTCCACCGTTATCTGCCGCGTTGTTTGAGAAAGTACAACGATGTCAACACACGCAAGTTCGTGCCAATAGTAGAAATCCTACATGAGGCCATAGCTAAAACAAGGGCTGATCAACATGACACGATCAAGCCCATCACAGTTGTGCCGGTACTCGTGGAAGACCAACGAGAAACCGGCGTGTGCTTCTGAGAGTACCGTTGGGGACGTTGTGGCGGGATGCTTCAGACTAGACTAGAAACAGCACAAGCCGCACACGAAGTCGAAGTCCTTCACGAAAGCGTTAGCGTGGGCGGCGTTTCAGGCATTCTCTCTCGTGTTGCTACCGCAAGCACCTCCGAGGTTGCAACTTTTCGTTTCACGAACCTTTTCAGTCCCTTTCCCCAAGCTGGTTCTCCCCAGCACCTTGTACTTGAGGTCGGCGAGCCCGTTCTGTCTCCAAGTGTTCGAATGCTCCTATTTGTTAAAAAAACACAAGTAGGTGAACGGCCGTGTTCAACCAGAGTTCATACCACGTATGACGAGGGGTGGGGGGGGGTCTGTGGGAGAGCTAGCGCGAAGCGTGAGGAACGGGGATGCGAAGGGCGGCAAAGGGGTGTCGTGCAACAAAGTTGGATTGTTCACACACCAAATCAAAGGAGTAGCACGTTGGGGTCTCATCTCTCTCTCTCTCTCTCTCTCTCTCTCTCTCTCCCGCTCTCGTATGTCAGTTTCCTGAGCATTGTGCGCTTTCGCCATGTTCACCTCCGTCTCTTCATCATGTATATCGCTCTCTGCAGCCTGAATACTGTTAAGCCTTGTCCTGTACAGCAAATCAAGCTCACCTCCAGCGCTTCCTTCTTGACCTGGCACTTCCACTGCTCGTTCTGACGCAGCAGGTTTAGCTTGGTCGGCAGATCTAAGCCTTCCAAGTCTTTGAATTCCCCAACCTCTGCCTTTTGCGGCTCTAGTCTCGCCTTTTCGTGGACACGAACGGCGCAAGATCATGCAACACGATGCGATACGGTGTGATGCGCGCTGACACCGGCCGGGTTCGATAGGCTCGTCATGGTAAGTGCGTTTCGTAACGGCGAGCCCCCGTTCCTCTACCTTTTTCGGGTGGAATAGGGAAGAAGGTTGCTTTTTGAACATGCAAGGCAGTCACGACAGCTTGCGCTTCCCAACACACCAAAGCAGACGTTAACCACTGGGAAACACCCGGCGACTTGCTTGAATCTGGCAACCAACGAGGGTGGGGTGGTACGGTTGCTTCTATTGACAACTCTGCAGCTGGCAGTTGCTGTCTAAAAAACAGCAGCAGCAGCAGCAGCAGCAGCAGCAGCAGCAGCTGTGGCAGCAAAGAGAAGCACACTCTGCCACGCCTGTGCCTACGTTACCTCGGCGACTCTCTTTATTATCAACACAATTACTTGGGGCTAGGCTTTCCGCAAGAGATTCACACATGCAGATCAGAGAGTGCTACCGCCGTGCCACGCTGAAGTCTCGCGCAGTGTCGAGAGGTCTAGACTGGGCGCAACATACCTCTACGATGCGACTGTACATCTCATCGTCTTCGCCCCCCCAACCCCAAAAGGTGTTGGGAAAGCCGTTGATCGCCTCGAAGTCCTTCCGATTGAAGGCCACTACCCCCCCGAAATACCTGCGCATATTTTCGTTACATGGTCAAGGCGGCGGGTATTGGTTTTCGTTGCGGAGCGTTGGTCAGGCATAACCTCAAGTAAAAAGTAACGTTGGGAAGCACTACTGTTGTTCCGACTTCACAGCTTAGTTTCATTTGCGCTTCTGCAGCCAAACTGACACGGCGAAGACCCCTCGCTTTGCCTCCACGTGGGGGATAAAATATCTCCGTCACTGTCTCCCAATTCCAGGCCTACAGTGAACAAAGTACACGTACAAGCTAAATCAGCTCTTGCTCCATACAAGAAACATGCAGCTCACTTCGGGTTGTTGCTGTACTGCTTCCAGACCCTCGCCACGTGGACCGGTCTCTCCGGTACCGTAGCGTACCACCTGCTCTCTCCGAGGCGCAACGGGCAGCGGCAATGAAGGACGGCAGCAACCGCGCAACCGCCACAAACGGCATGACACCCTTTAGTCCAGGGCGGGCATGAGGGAAACAAGGTGCTGTACGTGCGAGAAGCACAGATATCGTTTCTGTGACGGGGGGTAGCCATTTCCACACGCATCCGTCACCCTCTCGTGCCCCCATGAAGCCTGCATCCCTTAGTTAAGCCTGGACGGGGCTCGTGGGGCGTCGACGACCGGGCAAGATCAGGAGACGGTTGCACACGGGGTGTTCTCTTCTGACACGTTCGCGGCATGAGAACGAGAGCAGCTCAAAATCGAAAAACACATGCACCGGCTGTAGTTGCTGGCCGGTCTTTCAGTGGTCGAACAATAACAATATTGAAGCGCGACTGACAACATGCGAACCCTACCCGTCCGAGTGTTTCACCAAACGCTTTTCTTCAAAGCAGGTTTGTAGTCCATTCGTTCCGTTTTGCTCCCCAACCCCTCCCTCCCTCAAAACCTGTGTACGACCCAGGAGCCTACCTGGTTTCTGTTCAAATGCGAGGTCTCGTGAGGAGCGCTCTCTCAGCGCGGGCGAGCTCGCAACAATTAGCGTCAGCCCCCGTTGTGTGCATGTTTGTCTATCTGCCGGTTGCAGCGAATGTTGTTGGGACGTACACACACACGTCGTTACACCATCTAACGGGACCAAGAAGACCCTGCCGCGAAGCGCATCGTGACGGGTCTCTCTCCTTGCTTACCGCGCGAGCTCGTTCGAGGGCAGGAGGTCAACGTCGTGGAGCAGGAACACTTGAGCCCCTTCCTTTCGGGCCAGGTCGAACCCGATGTTGAGAAGCTTGCCGCGGTTGAACTTGAGGCCGTCGTCGGTCGACTGCTCCACCACGTACACGCGAAACTCCCCCCCCGCCCCTCCCACCGCCCTCTCCAGGAAGTCCTCCATGTAGGGCACGAACTGCTCCAGGTGAGCCGAGCGCCGTTGCGCGGGATCCAAGTCCCTGTATGGAACTACCACGGCCACTTTCGTCTTGCCTCCGTCTTGAGGCGGCAGGGACGACGGCCCTTCTTGCCGTGATCGTTTTGCCGGGGGAGGCGAGAAGGATTCTAGGTCCTCCTCCTCGCCCTCTTGGCGAGAGGGAGGCGGCGGTGGCGGGGCAGTAGGAGCGAACCAGGTCGACTCGCCGGTCTGCGTGTCGAAGAAGTAGTCCCTCCCGAACTTGGAAGAGACGCACCTCACCCACCCGGGCGGGAGCTTCCTTCCGTCGTGGTATTGCATCAGCTGTATGCTGATACGGCCGTGTGTGCGTGCTCGTAGAAAGAGAGAAACAGCAGGGGTAAAGGTGTCGGCGTCGCTCTGTCCTCTCTGCCAGATGCCGCATCCGAAAAGAGGTTCTAAAATGGAACCAAACCAACTCACAGTCCAGTCCAGCATCCAGCAGTCCAGCAGTCCAGCGTCCAGCGTCCACACGTCCAGCACCCTGCCCAGCACCAGCACCAGCGCGCGGTGCAGCACCTCACACCCCTACGGGACCCTCGTAAGAGATAGCAAGGAGAGCCGCGGCATCCTTCCCCCGTAAAGCCCTCCTCTTCCTCTCCTTCTTCTCCTTGTCTTTCCCTGTGTCTCTCTGGTTCTCCTCTGTCGCGCAGGGGATATACTGCGGGGCTTCACACTAAATAAAGCAGCTACACCATCAGGTGTGTTTGTGCCACCTCTGCAGACAAACGAAGCACAACCTAAATGACGAACAGGACCACCCCGACTTTGCACGTGTAGCACAAACATTTCTACGTAGCCATCGCAACCACATAGAGGCAAGGACGTGCATGCCGTAGACATCTCGCGCAAAACATCCGCCGACACACGAGAGAAGTGGCACGGAAGGGCGGCAAATTTTGGCAAAATCGAGGTAACGTCGATGCTCACGACGTCCCTCACCCACCTCCGCACCTGCATCACGCACTGGATTATTTTCAATTCTATATTGTTTGCACTCCTCTGTCGCTATACAAAAAGGGCTAACTCAGGAGGGGCTGGGCTGGAGTCGCCGCCCCCGCCCGCGCCGTCTCGTCGTCATCGGGCAGCAGGCAAAGCGTAACCTGCTCGCTGTTTTGCCTGCCGCCGCCGCGGCGGCACGCCGAGGGGGGGCTGTTCGGTTCGTCGCCCACATGGAAGGCAGGGGGCGCGGCAAGAGCAGGGGCGCCGCGGCGGGAGCAAGAAGCGGAGGCGCGAGAGCAGGGGCACGAGGGAGAGGAGGAGGGACGCGGGGGGGAAGAGGGGATAGAAGGGGGAAAGGAAAACGGCCGGCTCGGTCACCGTCGGGGCAGGAGTTGTCATCCTTTCCGTCAGCGAGCGGCGGCAGCGGCGATGGAGGAGGAGGAGGAGGAGGTGGGGCAGGCGGCGGCGCCGGCGGCGGCGACTCGTACGACACGCTCGGCAAGCTGGTGTCGAAAGCGACCAAGCCGACTCGCGAGACGGGGTACAAGCGCCTGGACGAGGTGATGCCGCGATTATAGCAGAAAGAAATGCGCGGTTGGAGTCGAGGAAGGATGGTGTACGCGAAGCCGCTTGTGTACGAGTTTGGTCCGAAAACGAAAAGGAACGTGGGGTGCTGCTGGATCGCGTACGTATCAACGACAACACACACATGCGTTTTACTTTAGAGCCAGAAAAACGGGTTTGCTCTGCGGTTCAACGTGCCGCGCCGACGTCTCCGTCGCTATGGACGTCGCGGAGGTGGTTGTCGCCTCTCATATTTTTTATTTGCCCTCCAGGACACGGTGCGGCGCATCAAGGGCATCGCTAGGAAGGACGAAGACTGCGCTGCCGGCGCGATCCGCTACCTCATGCAGAGGATGGCGGCCAAGTCTGCCGAGGTACGTCCTGGTATGCCGTTGGCATCATGATGGCGGTTGGAAACAACGAGACGGTTTTCGGTCGTTCGGTGCTACATACTCTATTGTCACACGGCGGAAGTTCCTGTGGAACTGAAGGCGTGTCAAGTGACGTGTATGGCGAAGTACAATGCGATATTGCGTTAAACTGCATGCCGCGGCGGTGCAGAGAATGATAAACAATGACAGATAAAAAAACGAAGCTACTTGTACGTTTTGTCAGTTGTGGCTGGTATTTTGCAGCTTTGCGAGAGCGTGCATGTCACAAGATTTTTTACGGGGCAGTGTCATTTACTCCGTGGTACGAATCAATTCCGCCATATTCCGATTTTGGCCACGGTGCACTGTGGAAAAAAACGGCCGAAATGATACTGATATGTATGCATGCGATTTGACGGTACACCCGCGATCTACAGTGTTGTCGGGGGTTGGCCTCGGTAGGAGGTGGGGGTATTGTGCCAACCTGCGCTGTGCGTGGAGGCCGCCGGTGTGCACTCGCTCAATTCAGATTTTTTTCATTCATTCTGTTCCTTGCCTTTGTTCTGCTGGCTGGCACGCGTTTGTCTAGGTGCGGTTCATGGCCCTGTCCATCGTGGGGCTGCTGTTTCAGCGTTCGAGGGTGGTCCGTAAAGTCATAGTCGCCGATCTCAAGGTGAGTGCGTAGGTATGCGGCCCTCTTCTCTTGCGGATGGCGAGACGGCGACAGACTCTATTACCACCACGGCGGTGATTAAGAGTGACCTACCTCACCTTGACCCGACAGAGACTGTCAGTGGCGAAACCAGGAGAAACGAAAACAGCAGGCAGAGGCAAGCGATGTCCAATCTGGTAACGATGAGCCCGTCAACGCGACCCCCTCCCGCCCTCGCGCCGCCGCTCCGTTTGTCTCCCTATGCTTGCCTCTATAACGTTTGACCTAACACCTACACGAGGCAGAACTTCATGAACCTAGCGGTCGGCCACGACGCGCGGCATCCGCTCCCCGGCCCGCCCGCCGCCGCAGTGGCCCTGCGCGAGAAGGCTCTGGCGCTCATGGAGGAGTGGAACGAGTCCCACGGCGACCTGTACAAGGGCCTTCGCGCGGCCTACCGGTTTCTGAGGGAGGGCAAGCGGATGAAGTTCCCGGAGCTGCAGGTCAGACAGACAGACGAGAAAGACAGACAGACAGACAGACAGACCGATGGAGCGAAATTATAGTGAGACGGACAGGCAAGAGAGTCGGGGGGGGGGCGACCGCTGAAAGAATCACGCAGGCGGAGGTGACGGTGTCTAGGCTCGACGTCGTTTGAATGGAGGCCTTGCCACACTTGACACCCCGCAGGCGCCGCTTGCTCGAATCGGGGGCCGCGTAGCTTGCGCGCTTTCCTGTGCGTGCGTGCTCGGGGCCTACATGTATCCTGCCACCAATCGCACCATCGACCCTGTGGTTGATGACGTAACACCTCCCCCCTCCACCCGCTGGCCCCGTTGCCCTTTTTGCGCCCTCGAACCGAACAAAAGGCGCGGGCGGCGAGGGCGCGAGATGCCGCCGCCCGACGGGACAAACACGCGCGGCGTCTGCTGCAGGCCAAGTATTTGCAGGCGAAGGCCGAGATCACGGAGCAGGTATGCGTATGTGTATGTGTTGGCTGTGTCGACGTCGTCGTTGTTGTTGTTGTTGTTGTTGTTGTTGTTGAGCCGAGTTAAGGCGTGATTGCACGGGACGGAAGGGGACGCTTGCCGCGGTCTCTGCCGCTCTGTTGATCTTAGTGTGGCAAGTGGTGTGCTAGGCCGCGTGTGTGTTACCTTGGCTTGTCTCCACGTGATGCGTGCGTGTTGTATCGATTCTTGCGGCGTTGCAGAATGTGCTGCCCCCACGCCACGACGCACCCGCCTCGCCCATTTCGTTCGTGACGAGTGGTTGTATCGTCGCTCGATCCTGCAACTACACACACCGTAGTTCGCATCGCCGATGGCGAAAGCAAGACTTCTTTTTCTTCCAATCCTTATCCTTCACTCACGAGAATCATCCCCATTTTCTTTTTCGTGCCGCATCAACGCTACCAGGCATCCGAAATACAGACGATAGTGCGAGAGATGGATGAGTGCTTCGCCATCCTCGTTCCAGCCGTCCCGGGAACCGACGCCGTTTCCACAGACCAGGACAACACAGACCAGGGCAACGGCGACAAGCCCCGGGGTGACCATTCGCTTTCGGAAGGCGGTGATCGTGTGAGCGACGGCGGTGGTGGCGGCGGCGGCGGCGGCGGTGTCGGTAGCGATGGTGGCGATGGCAGCAAAGATGGCGACGCCCCCCCCGTGCTTGCGTCAGGTCGCGATGCGGTCCGTTCTCCGCAAACGCCTGCGGCGGCGGTGGCGGCGAGCTGCGATGACGACCGTCGGCAATATGGCAACGATGGCTGCGGCGGCGGCGGCGGCGGCGGCGGTAGCGGAGACGAGGGCGGGCGTAGCGACGGCAGTGCAGGTGGCGTTGGCCCACGAAGTAGCGGCGGACGGCCAACTACTGACAGCGAGTGCGAGGGAACGGAAGAGGAGAGAAGGAAACAAGAAAGTAGCGAGGAGGGTGAAGGGAATACCAATCAACACGACCGAACGGCTGCGGGGGAAAGCGGACGGGAGGACTCCGGTGTCCAGCTGGAACGAGGGAAGAACGAGCGCGGGGGGGGGGCAAGGGCAAACACAGAGGCGAGAGATTCTGCTGCTGCTACCACGGCTGACAGTGACGACGACGAGGGAATGGAGTGGGAAGACGGGGGCGGCGACAACGACACCAGTGGTGACAACCGCTCGGAGGCAGAGGAGGAGGAGGGGGAGGAGGACGAGGAGGGGGACGAGGAAGCAGTGAGGAACGGGAAGCGAAGGTGGAGCGGAGGCGCCGGGGACGACGGCGAGCTGCGGACGATCGCCGATACGGTGGAGGCGGCCGGGTTGGGCAGCAGCGGTTACGAGCTGCAAGTCGAAGTAGGTCGGGCATGACGTCGTTGTCGCGGCGTGTGTTATTCATGTGCGTGTATATATGTGAAGTAAATGCTTATTCTATGCCTGCCCGCACAGGTGGCCATGACGGGGTGAGCGCTAGGCTGCGGTTGCTGCACGTTTTCTCTTCCCGGGAGTATTATTCCTTTGTGTCGAGTATTCAACTGAGCCGGTTTTCCTCCCAGTGTTTTCAATGAGGGGAGTCGTGCGTGTGCCGTCGTTGTGCCCCCCCCACCCTGCAAGGTTCCGATGGGTTGGAGCGTAACGACCGGCGGCAGTGGCGCTGGTGAAGACGCAGCGCTCGTCGTGTCGGCTCTGCGAGAGCGATACAAGGTCTTGACCTCGCGGTGAGTCAAGCCGACCTGTTGTATCAACAACACGCTTTGGACGCGTGCCATTTGCCCTCCTATCAACTCTTCTTGCCGCCCTGATTTCTTCAAGCGGGAGGCGTAGCGGGGCGTACGCGGACATGAGCAAGTGCCACTCATTCGAGGGGATCTCTCTAACCACGGAGACGAATTAACCAGGTCGCAACAGCATCGGGGTGGCGAATGAAGGTTGCCCGTTTTGGAGTCCAAGAACCCACCCGGGTTACGGACGGTTCTGGAATTTTTTTGCCCCCCCGGGCTTCGCCCCCCCTTCAGTTTCTATCAGCGTCGTCTGCTGCTCGCCGCCCCGGTGATGTTGTACAACTTCTGTAGCGCGCTTCCAATGCATTATTCTACTGAAGGCGGATACCCTGCTGGTGGTGGTGGTGCTTGTTTTAAAGGCATGAATCCCCCCCCCCCCCCGCCCCGCAAGGGGGATGATCGCACCACGTTGTGTTAAAATGGTCAAGCATCCTCGAGGCAGCTACACGGTGCTTATAACTGTCTCTCGAAGTGAAAGCACCAGAAAATAAATTTAGTCACACGCAGCTGTCATCCGTACGCAAGGAAGAAAGCACCAGATGCCGAACGCCCTTAGCAGGATGCAGCGCACCCTTCATGCGACTCGCCGAATGCCTCACGGCGCTTCGCGCTTGGTGCTGTTGAGAACCTGGTCCGGTGAGAACCCGGCGTGCTCCGTCCCGGCTTTGTAGGGATGCGAGGTCAATGGTCTAGCGACTACGGCATGCACGACTGTTGAGTACGACCCCACCCCCCTCCGCCTACCCGCAGGCTGCTACCACTGCTGTCGGACTGGATACACACCCTAAGCCGCGTGCACTTCGACGACGACGACGACGACAACGACGACAGCCGTCTGGACAGCAACCACGCGGGCGCCGGCAGCAATAGGAGAGAAGCGGGCGGGGGAGAGTCTACAGTCTCTGCGACCGCCGGAGGCGGGGCGGAAAGGCGAGCGTGCGCGAGCCTCCTGGGACGGTGCCTCGCGGTGCGGAACTCGGCGAATGCGCTGGTGTCCAAGTTTGTCGAGCTAAGGATCGACGAGGAGGGGGGTCGCGGGGCATCATCTTCGTCGTCGTCGTCGTCGCGGTCGTCTTCGTCTGCTGCGCCGACCGCGAAACGGCCCCGCCTTCAGATCCGAATGGATGGTTTGCGAGGAACGGGGAGCTGAGGAAGAAGTTGAAGCATGCCGTGGTGGCGGGTGTGTGCCGTCGTATTTATTCCGGGAGCAGCTTGGGGTGTAACTATCTGGAACGCCCCAGCCGGGGCCACACAGTTGGGCCATGTTTTTTTTTTCTTTTTTTTTCTCCACGTGTCTTCTGCCGTGCTTCCCTTGCTTTTTGTCGCGAGAGAGAGGTGTTGAGCCGCCCCTTTCCCTCGTCGACAGCAGTGGGGTCGGAGGTTGTTGTAAAAAACACACGAAAAACTCGTTTTCCAAATCCATCGGGCATGCACGGCGAGAAAACAAGTCTTCTTAGTTCGTGTGACCGCCGAGATTCGAACCCACGTCCCAAACGTTTGAACGGTTGCGAGGTCACCAACTGAAAAATAGTTCGTGTTACTCGATCATGTTGTCCGTGGTTGTTTGGATCACAGGTCAACCTGTGGCGTAAATCTTGTGGATTCATTCAAAGCGCTTATTTTTTCGCGGTTTTGATTGTAGGAAACAAGCCGTCAACAAGCGGCAGGTGCTTGGTTGCAACTGGGCAACAGGCTGCTGCAAGACAAAGATTTTGGTTTTCCACAAATTGCTTTTCCCTTGCGCTATATCTATACTCAGGAAGGCAAGAAAATCTAAAAGAAGTCGCCGCCGCCTACGCTGCTCCTTGTCCCCCAAACGCGAGTAGATCTTCTTGTTTTCGTTTTCAAACTGAGAGTCAAGGTCCCAAACAACCAAGCGAGAAGCAAACTCCTTTCCCGCTTCTCCCCTCGCTTTGCCGATATGACGCGGCGACGCAGCAGTCTCGCGCGTAGTTCAGCCGCACCAGTTTTGACCTCTCCACTCAAACTTCACCCCGAACTTGCAATTATAGCAAGCCAACGGTGTTTTGTTTGCTTTCGTAAAAAGAAAGAAGAAAAAAAAATTCAAACTACGACAAGACGCCCGGCACCACGTGCGCCACGCGCAATAAGGGAGTCCGCCAATCGCAAGCCCTGTGACCCCCCCCCCCCCCCCGTTAAAACCCAAATGCGAAAGAAGTACAAGGGAATCCTCAAAAACAGAAAGTCAACATCACGACAACAACGACTCTTATCATTTTCAATAAATACAGGAAGGACGGCCAGGAGACGCGTCCACCTCGCGGAAATGCGCCCGGTCTTTTCGCTGCTTGCAAGAAGAGTTCTGCCATCGACCACCACCGCCTGGGGGGATCGTCAGCCCGTTGGCATTCCGTCACACCAAGGCACAGCAGTTCATCGCCCGCCTGTCGCGAGTAACCCCTCGTGAAAGGGTCATTAAAATCTAGGAAAACGCACCGAAAAATTCTGCACAACGGACGGCTGGCTCGCCCGTGCGAAACGGCATGGCGGTTTCGTGCACCGACCCGCCTCGCCTCGCCACTCTCCGAACAAGACAAAAAAAGAAGACAGCAAATGACCCCCACCACGCAGCAAGCGGACCGCGCTCCGATCGAGAAAAAACACACAGAACTCTTGTCTATCGATAAGGGGAACAACATCGAGTGTTGCACGAAACTTTGCATAAGGCATGGGCGGTGCAACATACGGGAAGGGAACAGACTATTACAATACAACGCTCACAGAAGCTACTAAACACGTTTTTTGTCGGTTGTCGTGTCACTTCCTGTATCTTACAACAAGAACCGTCGGTCACCATTCTCTGTCGGTACTTGATAACAAAAAAAAGAAAATCTCTGTCCCTCGACATTAGAAAAGAAAACTGGACAGCGTACTGCCCCCACCCCCGTCCGCGACCACTATCGACACGCCCTCGCACAATCAACCGGGCCGAAAGGGACACAAAAGTTTATGCATCGACTGAGTCAAATCACCGACAGCAGTAGTGGGTGAAGTAGAATCGTAAAGGTACCACCATCCGGCTGTAACAACGCACAGTACACCGCGTGCCCAACTGTGTTGGATTCCTCGTGCGTTCACTGACTGACTGACTGACTGACTGGTGACGTGACAGACTAGACAGACAAGCAAAGGAGACAGACATCAAAATACATGACAAGAATGCAATAACGAGACAACGGACGAATTTCCAACCGGACCCCCCCCCCCTCCCCCCGCCCTCTTTTCTTGCCTTTCGCCAGCCTCCATGCCACGTGCATAGTACAGCAATCATGACCGCCTTTCGGGATAACGAGGATCTACGGAGAACCCGCTGTTGGCGTACATTAGTCTAGACAAAAACATTACCAAGTATATAGTACGCGTGCTTCGGCGCCGGAAGGCTAAAACGTTGGCTGCCATTCTCCTTTCTGAAAACACACAACAAACACGGGAAGACACAACACATCGCCCACCGCTACTACTCTAGAAAGAGTCGTTTCGGTGCCGACCGACACGTTTCGGGAACCCGAACACAACAGCAAGGAAAAACTTCAACTACTACAATGGTATCGCGAGCTACAACGGACAAGGCCACACACATACATAGCGGGGATGAGAATCAATCGGACGACACGCATCGACACGCAGCGCGCAACAAAACAAATGCACGTCAACCTTTCAAACACAGGAGATACGCTGGCGTGGGGGGCGACAAGGGAATGGGAGGGGGGGGGGGGGGGTATCCGTGTTACAAGTCCACTGGCAACGTCGCTGTCATCACATGGGCGTCCATCAGGTCGTCACACCCAGCGCTGTCGTCGAAGGTAGTCTCAAACTCGCAGTTGCCGGGCATTTCCGTGGACGGCGCTCGCGCCGCCGTTGCCGACGTCTCAAGCAGCATTCCGCCCTCCCCCGCTTGACGATGCTGCCACCACACCCCCTCGGCCTCGCCCATCTTTGTCGCGGCGGGAGCAGGTGCCCCCCCTCGCCATTTCCCGGCCGCCGCCGCCGCCGCCGCCGCCCCGGCCCCCGTGGCAGCGCCAAAATAGTTCGTGGAGAAGCTCTCGAGGACGTCGCCGCCGCCGCCGCTGCCGCCGCCGATGCCTTCCAACGGTTGCCGGCTACCAGCTCCAGCCTGAAACTCCATCTTGATAGCCGAGGAGCAAGCGGCGGAGCTCATGTCCATGATATCCTCTCCGGCAAACTCGCCGGCGCCGGACGCCACCGGGAAGATCTGTACGGGGGGTATGGGGGCACTGTGCCTACGTCGCACGACGCCGTGAGTTTTTGGCCGCGATGCTGCCGACTGCTGCTGAGGCAGACGCTGCTGCGGCGGCCCGTTTGCGGAGATCGAGGGTGAAGAACTCCGCGACTTCGTTCCCTGCTGCTGCTGCTGCTGCTGCTGAACCTCCCCCGAAGACAACACCCACCCGTGCTGACGGGGCGCCGGCTTGGGGGCGGTCGCAACGCCGTTCTGCTTGGTACCGTCTCCGAGCCTCACGCTCCAGTTTTGGCCAGAGCTGCTGGCGGCGGTAGCCGATGCCTGGAAGCCAGCGCTCATGGCTCCGCTCGAACAAGCCGCTGCCGCCGCCACTGCCGCGGCTGAAGGACCGCTCGGAGCGGTCGCACAGGGATCGAAACCGCTCTCCCCCACCCCTCCATGCCGGTGGCCCGATCCCCACCCGCTGCTCAAGCCGCTGCTGCTGGAGCGTCGGTGTCCCCTGCCCGAGGACGGGTCGGCGAGAGCGGCGGCCTTCGCGCTGGCGGCCGGGGCTGGGAAGTACGTGCGGTCCGACCCGCCCAGAGGAGAACACGTCACGTTGAAGCCGGCGCTGCCGTTGGCGCCGGCCGCGGCCCCCCCACCGCTGAGGGGGGACTGCGGGAGGAAACCGACGTGAGGCGAAAGTCCGGCCTGCGGGGAACCGGGGAACCTCTCCGGGAACCCCCTCGCCCCGACCCGTCGAGACTTGGGGCTCGGCCCCCCCATCAGGCCGTTCGAGCCGAGGGGGTCCTTCGGAGACGGAAGGGCGTACTGCTCGGCCGGGAACGCCTCGTCCCCGCGTCTCCGGCCGCTCCCGCTCCCGCTCCCGCCGCCGGGGGCCGTGGCTTGAGTCCCCGGCGTCCCCGGCGTCTGGGGCGGTGGCGAGTACCCCTTCCTCTGGC